AAAAGGCCAATTTTTACCATACAAAAAGATCTTTGATAATTATTAACTTTTTTGTATTTTATTTTTATTAATCTTTTTTTATTATTTGTATAATTTTGTTAATTTGATAATGTTATGATTTTGAATAAAGAATTAAATTGATTTCGTGATTCCTAATTATTATTAATTTCCTTTATATATATTTGTTTTCTATTTTTTTTTAGGTCTCCAAAAGCCCCACATTCAACATTGGTGCCGAATATTTTTACGTTTTAAACTAGCTGCTTACAACAGTAATTCATAAAATAAAGACCCAGGGGATTTAGAGCTGCAGTCTAATGCCAAACTCCATACAAAAAAAAGAAATTCAAAACGGAAAAGGGGTAAGAAAAATATGAATTTGACAAGATGATATTTAAAGTTATTTAAATCAAATTTTAAAAACGGAGATTAAAGAAAAGATTATTTTATGGTAGCTTATGTAAATTAGGTTAATGTTGTAATTAAATTTATTAAAGATTTGCGTTCAATTTTATTTTAGGCTCAACTATAGGTGAATAATATACATAGATTTTGATAATATTTAGTAAATATTAGGTTGTAGATTAACCAAAAAATCTTCATAGAGAGAATCGGCTTTCGTCATTAGAAAATTTTTATAATAGGTTTTTTTTGCCTAAATCAACATGATTTTTATAATATTAACAGCCCACGCTTATAAAACAATATCAAATATATTGTCGCACGAGATTTTAGAAATAGAGCAGTTTATCAAAAGCCGAAAAATTTTTTGTTGTCGGGACATTCATTATGCTGCTCATATATTTGACCCAAGGTTTTGCGGATTTAATTTAAGAGACAATGAAGTTGCAAAGGGATTGGATATTATTAACCGATTTTCTGGATATCTAAATTTAGATATTGCAAGAAAAATAGGAAACCTCTCCAAATATCGTGCAAGGGAAGATTTTTTTAATATAGCAAGTCTTTGGCAAGGCGCATCATTTACAAATCCAGTGAGTTGGTGGAAAGGTTAAATACTTTTATATTTCTGTAAACAATAACTTAACTCTTTTTCTAATCTTAAAATTGTGTTATTCAATATTTTATTAGATCTATGTTGCAATCAATACATATCGACCCTAGCCATACGAATTTTATCTATACCACCAACAAGTGCAGCATCCGAAAGAATATGGTCCTCCTTTGGAAATATTCATTCTAAATCTAGAAATAGAATAAAAAATGACAAAGTTCGCAAATTAGTTTATATAAGAGCCAATCTACATTTTATGGGAAAGGAAATTTCAGAAAATGACAAATTGCTGGATTCCAGAATTTCAAGCTCTGATCTGGAATCATTTTCATCTTCAAACGAAGATAAATAACTATTCAAAATTAATTGTTTAAATATTATTTAGTCTATATATAATATTTCAAATAAAACATTTTAAGTAATTGCAAATTAGTTGAAAATAATTTATATTTGTTTAATTATAATGTTTATAATCTATATATTTTCAATAAAACATAAAAAAAAATCAATATTGACCTGTAGAGTATTATAAAAAAGATAGTTTCCCGTTTTTTTCCCGTTATTTCCCTATTTTCCCATTATTTCCCGTTTTTTCCCCAAATTTCCCTGGAAATTTCCCTGGAAATTTCCCCGAAATATAGTTTCCCGGGAAATTTACATCCCTAATTATAACGCGTGATAAAAATATTATATTTGAATAGTTATGAATATTAGTTATAAAGAAGATTGAAAAGAGTATAAAAAGGCCAATTTTTACCATACAAAAAGATCTTTGATAATTATTAACTTTTTTGTATTTTATTTTTATTTTTATTAATCTTTTTTTATTTTTACTTTTATAATTTTGTTAATGTTATGATTTTGAATAAAGAATTAAATTGATTTCATGATTTCGTGATTCCTAATTAATATTAATTTCTTTTTTATATATATTTCTATTTTTATTTTTAGGTCTCAACACTTTCAACAGGAAACTTCAAATTTTTTTTATTTTATGATTATATAAATTTGTACCAAATAAATTAACCCAGGGAAAAGAATTATGCTCCTATAAATGTTATGATTTTGAATAAAGAATTAAATTGATTTCATGATTCCTAATTATTATTAATTTATTTTTTATATATATTTCTATTTTTATTTTTAGGTCTTAACACTTTCAACAGGAAACTTCAAATTTTTTTTATTTTATGATTATATAAATTTGTACCAAATAAATTAAACCAGGGAAAAGAATTATGCTCCTATAAATGTTATGATTTTGAATAAAGAATTAAATTGATTTCATGATTCCTAATTATTATTAATTTATTTTTTATATATAATTCTATTTTTATTTTTAGGTCTTAACACTTTCAACAGGAAACTTCAAATTTTTTTTATTTTATGATTATATAAGTTTGTACCAAATAAATTAACCCAGGGAAAAGAATTATGCACCTATAATTCATATTATTTTTTAATTAAATACTAAAATTTTAAATCTTGCCATCTAACGGAAATTTATTTATGAATTTAAAGTAAATTATGGACGTTATATTTTATATATAATATATTTGTTCTTTACGTATTATAAATTTATGGACTACTTTTTCTTCCATATTCTACTTTATTTATTTATTTAGATAATTTTAATTTTGGATAAAAAAAACATTTTATTTATATCATAAATATTGCCAGCAACTTGAGAATATGGAAAATATTGGGCTAAATTTGTAAGGAAATTTAATATTAAAAAATAGGTTTATTACTTGAATTTGGTTACAAAAACAGCAATGTAACAATTTAAGAAAAAAAAATGTATTTCGACATATCCTTTGCGATCACAATCAGACATATAAACAAAATTTTAAATTTAATTTAGCCCAAAGCTAGTCCCTTGGAACCAAGGTGTACCCCTCGCTTGGGATTATACATGTGTAGATCGTTTTGCCAGATCTTTTACTGTTAACTCCATCACTAAACTGAAAGTACAAAAAATAAATATAGCACCTTAATAATCTTTTGTTTGATCGGGTAGTCTCAGACACCTGTGGATCATTTCCCCAAGTCCTAAAATCATTCAAAATAATAGGGCAAAGGTTACGTTTAATCACAGGTGATGTTTCTACCTAAGACAAAGAATATAAATAAATTTGTCGATCCACATGTATATCTATACATTGGTCATTAAGCCCCGCCGACCAAACCTAAATATATTATTTTATTCCTCTTCTTTTAATTTTTTTTTATTATATAGATGATTATATTACACGAGCGAATAAATTTTTTTTATTTTATTTAATATTTAAAAATATATATATAAAAAAACTAATAATATATTAAAAATGAATTAAAAAATCTTTTTCGGTATTAACTTTTGAATGCATAAATTATATTGATTCCATGAATTATATCCTCAGCAAACCAAGCCGAACCACATATCTATAAGGACAATTTTTTTTATCGCTAATAACACCCATTATAACACGGGGTGACCGACACACCCCGCTCAACTAGTAGTTACTTTATACATCATTCATAAACGCATCATTTATCGAACCATTTAATATAAAAAAATTAGTATATAATAATTATAATCAATTTTGAAAAAATTAAAATATAATTAAGCCAAAAAAAATAACGGAAAATAGAATATATTTATTAGAGACCTGCAGGCCCGGCCCGGGTATACAGGCCGGGACGTATTTTAATTTTTTTAAAATAAACTCAGGCTGGGCCTAAAATTTTTTTAAAAAATATATCCGGACTCATATCGATAGGCTTAGAAACCCCCCCCCCCCTCTCCATAATGTCGTTTTTCAAAAGGCAAATTATCCAGGCACTATGCCATCAATTCGATCATCAATTATAATCTTGAAATCCCCAAAAATTTCTACTACACTGGAACCCTCTGGCTTCAGCCCTGATGGAATGACGCTAGTCACTTGAAACCAAGGTGTTCCCCTCGCTTGGAATTACATGCGTAGATCGTTTTGCCTAATCATTTTATTTTAACTCTATCACGATAGCTGAAAATACAAAAACAATTAAATATAGCCACCTTAATAATCTTTAGTTTGTTCCGGTAATCTCAGACCTGTGGATCATTTGGACCCCAAGCCCTATAATTATTCAAAACAATAGGGCAAAGGTTAAGTTCATTCACAGGTGATCCAAAAAAGGCTTCTACCTACGACAAAGAATATCAATCAAAATTTGTCGATCAAAATGTATATCATTTATAAATGGGTCTTTAAGCCCAGCCGACCAAACCTAAATACATTATTTTATTTCTCTTCTTTTAATCATATATTTTTACATATAATATAGTATTCTAATTTTAATAGTTATATTATTTTAAAAAAACATTAAAAATAAAATGAATTAATATATTATTTAGATTTATAAATATATATTTTTAAAAGTAAGTAGTTACTTTTGGCAGTTACATTTCAAAAAATATAATTAGTTACAGTTACTAGTTATAATTTTTAAAATATAACTAGTTATAGTTATTTTTAGCAAAAATGTATTTAACAACACTATAAAATACTACTAAATTGGACCACTTGTTCGGCCTGATCTAACAGACCCCTTTCTGGAGCTATATATATATTTTTCGAATCTCTTGATATTGATTTTCAAAGAGTACATAATCCAGCATTCAGGTAAACTCGAATTTTAGGGCGCTGTCAAAGAAAAACAACAAAAGAATTTATTTCAATTCAAGTAAATTTTCTTGAAAATATATAAGGTTGAAAACCACCTAAAGGGGTTGATGTTAGGAAGGGCATCCGATTATAAAAACCTTGCTACAAAAATTTCCTAATGATTAAATCAGAGGGAAAACTGGCCAACCTGGAAATCGCCGTTAAACGGATAAGAAGAATATTAATAGGTGTCTTAGATAAATTAATAAGTATATTTCGAATTTATGTACCAAAAAACTTAAATTGTATATTCTACGCATAATTTTTTCTTTTGGTATAATAATTTGATAATAATTTGTAAAATAAATAATTGATTTCCCGATTTCATTTCATTTTCATCAAGTATAAAATATTGGTTTATATATGAATTATCACAAAAATATCTCTCTTTCTATCATTCATATCGAATAATGCCTTGCCCTCGGATCCTTCCCAGACAGTCTTGGACATTGGCATTTTTCTCTTGTCTTGAGAGCCTTAATTATATTAAGTATATATTAAATGAATTATTATGATATATTATCAAGTAAAAATTGGAGAAGATATATTATATAATTTGCCACTGTATAATTCCACCTAACGGGAGAAAAGTTTAACCTGGAGATTTGCACCACCCAACCCAAAAAATCGGGCCGGGCTGGACAAAAATTTTAAATTTTTGACGCGGACCGACTTTCTATGGAAATGATTCAGAATTTTACAAGCTAAATTAATACAATTTTGACAAAATTATGTTTTTCAAAATTCAAAAAAAAAACGAGCGTTATCAAAATTTGAAAAAAAACAACTTATTTTGTTGACACAAAATATTCCATAGTAAAGTAAGAATATAGTTATCGTAGCCTTTGATATTTTGGTTTAATTTTAATAATTGTAGAAGAAAAGGAAGGAAGGCTATGTTATCGACAATGTGTTATTTTTTCAAACTTGAATCATTTTTTTTATTAAATTTAAAAATTCTGATTTTACGCGGAAATGTATTCCATCATGTTTGGAATAACCTACACTATGAATGTCAAATAATTTTGCCATGAAAATTTCAACATAATACATTCCATAGATTTTTCATAATAATTTATAAATGACTCAGAAATTAACGGTAAAATTATCTACAATTCATAAGATAGGTATTCTAAACATATTGGATATCATTTCCGACATAATCAGATTTTCAAAATTAAACAAAAAGCGCGCTCGAAAAAAAATGATTTAGAAGTTTACAAATATAGCACATTACCGCTAACATATATATATAGTTTCTACGCCAAAAACAATTTCGTTTAACGGCTCGATCTGAGCCGATTTATAAAAACGACTAACTCAACATTTTATCCAGGAAAATATTGCCTAAGCGTCGATATTTCGTCAATAGTTGTTCAATCCTATGTGCCATCTATGAGCAAAATCTTTAGGCTTGCATAATATTTTTCTGGATAAAATATTGAGTTAGCCGTTTTTAAAAAATCGGCTCAAATTGAGCCGTTCAACACTAATAAATAAAAAGAGATTTTTATTATTTATTTTTCCCGAACTTCCGGCATTAAATCGTCCAATGACCGGGCCCTATTACTGCTAGAAGGATGGGTGCTCAACCATTCTGGTGGATTTTCGGCCAATTTTTTACTCTTTCGCTGATTTTCTTCCATGATTTTCCAAAAATTTACGGCCTCTCTTACATCAAAACACGCCTTTTTTTAAAAAAAATGAATGCGCGAAATAAATAAGATGTGTTGGTGGTCAAGTATTATACTGTCCTATATCCACTTATTTTTTTGCAACTCACATTTTTTTTGGATATATCATATCTTTTAATACTATATTTCCATTAAAATGTATTTTAGAATAATTCCTTATTTGCCAAATCTCTTTTAAGTATATGAAATATTTAAAAAATTCTTTCCTGAAAAAAATGGATACATAATAACTGGATTGGTCCAGTGAGACTCTAATTTTATTATTCAATTTTTTTTAAAAAAAACAATGATTAATATTTTTACAAAATTACTTTTAAAATCACACTCAAAATCTATATTCTTTAATTAATTAAAATTATATATCTATTATTCATAATCCTAATCCTAATATCAATATGTTCAATCAAAATTTTAAAAATCTTTGATTCGACATCTAATATTTGCGAAAATTTTATTATTGACAGTTTATGACAAACACAATATTACTTTTGAAGCGAGTTCCAAGCCTACAAAGTCGGCTTCTTTCTCCAGTTTACGATTATAAGGCATGTGCAGCATTATCTTAAAAAAAATAAAATAAAACCTCAAGATTTTCATTTTATATATCATATCAAAATTATAATAGTTATTTAAATATAAAACTGATTCTTAAAGTGTCATTTCAAAATTTACGGGATAAAATGTTATATATTCCCCTAACTAAATTTTGGCCCAAATAAAAAAAATGAAACAGTAATAAATAAATTTTTTAACTCCCCCCTCCCCCTTCAACTGCTAGTAAAAACTCCTGGATATTGTCCTATGGTTGTTTCAATCAAAAAAAAATTCTTTGTAGTTATTATCAGTATTTATATCAAGTTTTAAATTGACAGATCAATATAATGATTGAATTATATTATTCCCTTCTCCCTTAAAAATTTAGTTTACATATCAATAATCAATACATTAATTTATAAATAGAAATCATTTTTTTAAAAAAAAATATATATAATAGCTTTCGCAATTTACATCAACAACTTTTTGGTAAAACCACTGAGACACAATAGCTAATCCATCCGTGGGAAGAAAAGCCCACAATGCCCCCATCACGACTATGACTGCCAAATCCAAAATTTGAGCGTAACTCACTAATTCTATCTACTTAATAAAATAATAAATATAATAATTAAAAATATCACAAATAATAATAAATTTTATATTCATCCTAAATTCCAACAGCTGTTCCTTTTTTTAAATTTTACTTTACGTTATGTAATTGCTAGAAAAGTTTAAAAAGGTGGTGGGAGGATCTTTGGACGTAGGGTAAAATAAAAGAATAAAATCGAAAATATTAATATTTTAATAAAACCGCGTGTCCTAAAAGCACGTGAGCCATTTCGTGACTCAGTACGATGCCCAGCTGGTCCGTATTTTCGATGATCTTGAGCATGCCGGTAAAAACGAAGATTTGACCGTTCTATTTTTAAAAAAAAATTAGTTAACTAAAATGACCAAACTGTAAGTTTTACCTATAATATGAGGGTCTGAAGTCAATGTGTATGTAAATTTTAAGGTGGTACACAATGGTTAGGGGAGACTGTGGCACGTTTGAACACCCACTTCCGTTTATTTATAAAGAGTAGAAATTTAAAGCAAAGCTTGGAATCTAGACTAAAAAATAGCCCTGAGTTCATCTTATATTTAAAGCGGTTCCGAGAATCCCAGGTTCTGATTCCAGGATCAGATTAAATGAATGGATCAATACCAGATATCAGTACATCTCTATTTTAAAGTGTGTTAAAAATGGATACATCATTGAGATTGGAAGATGTTTCTTGAGGGGGGAGGGGGATTAGCGCCTAATAAATATTTAAAAAAGCTCAAAAAAATACAAAACTTGTATCCTATTCTTTTTTTCATTTCAAATCAGGTAATGACGATAAATTATAATACTATGCTATCTATATATTTTTGTGTTAGAATATATAAAAAAATTGCAATAAACTGGTAACACAAAAGCATTTTTGGCGTCGTCTTCGACTATCGAAACGCTCCAATTGGCTAATTTGTTGAGCTGAGGTATGTCACGATTGGAATTAAAAAGCTTTTGTAACACGTCAATCACGATATTATAGTAAGGGTGATTAGTTCTGATGATTTTATCTTTTAGTAAGTTGACTTGCTTGAATAAGATAAAAAAAAATTTTTTAAAAAAACAGTTACATATTAATTAACGATTTCTTTTTTGAAAAATTTTTATGTCACATCGGCCCATAATATTTATCAAACATAATTGATTGATAAAACGGTGGGAATAGATAGACCTAGAGGAGAGATATAAGTGCCTTAATTGAAAGGAAAAAAATCAGATGTAAATATTAAAAAAGTGAAAACCTAAAAATTCGTTCAAAATACAAATAAGCGGGCCGGGGCGGTCTTTTTGTAAAGCCTTGGCTGACCTAACCCTAAAATATTTAAGGGCCTAAGTGGTTCGCACCGGGTTAGCAGATCTCAAAATCTAAAACTTGATAAAGTGATTGGCGTCAATCACAAATTTTGGGTAACAAATAAAATTAACCATAAATATCTGCTAATTTTACCAAAAATAAATAGGAATGGGCTTAGAGGTAAGGTTCGGTTCATATATTAATTTTTTTAAAAAATCTCCCAAAAATGATAATTCTAACTTTTAGACATCTTAGAAATATTTTTTCGACGATAGTTTAGCGCGAAAATTCGCGGGAAATATATAAAAATACGAAATGCTTGATATAATACGTCGCGAATTCACGCCAACTGCGTATGCCAGGGTAAGTATTAAGAAATTATACGAAAGGAAAAAAAAATTATAATGCTAGGAATGACATTTAGAAAATGTGATTTTTTTTAATTCAAAATCTAAAAAAATTCGCTTTCGAGTAAATAACTTTTCCAAAATGCCATGATCACATTTTATATTTATGACAGTTAATCTTAAAAAAAAAATTTTTTCAACATTTAGTTGGGTAATGGCTAAAATGTTGGGGCTAATTCGGGCTCAATCTACAAGTATGCGCCGGAGAAAATCCGTTAAGATTAAGCTGTTTTAATTTCATATAAGTTTCTGTCAAATTTGAGGCGCCATATTTTTTTAAAAAATTAGGGGGTTAGGTTAATAATTTTGCAGCTAAAAAAACTCGGTTTCGCTGGCTAAAAAATATACTAATTGCCCAACTATAATTATAGGTAACTATAATTATAGGTAACTATAAAGAGAGATTGTTCTGTACGCACAATATAATTATTATTTCTATGTTTTTTTAGAAAGGTATCAAAATACAGGAATCGAAATATGGTAAAATATTGGGCAATGATACTAAGTGTTGTTAAACGGCTAGATTTGATCCGATTTTTAAAAACGGCTAAATATTTTATTCAGATGAAATATCCCGCAATAACGATTTTGCTCACAGATGGAGCAAAGGTTTGCATTCGGTCTGTGCAGATTCACATATTTTTTACCGATCCGATATTTTCCTGTACTAGTTCAAACCCGATCGATACCGATATTTATATTGATTTTTCACCATCCCCCTTTTGAACCGAATGGTAATTAAGAAATAAATATTTCTTATGCAAAAAATCGAATTATGCATTTAATATTTTTTTTATTTCTATAATAATTTTTTAAAAAAATTATATTTTAATAGATAAGATAAATATATTTAATATATCCATTTTATGTTGGTAAGAATGATAAAATTGTAATATTTAATATATAAAATTATAATATATTAGTTTTTTTTAAAAAATAAAATATTTCCATAATTCAGACACCATAGTTAAAAAAATTCTTTTATTTAAAGTATAAATAATAAAATTGGCGTTATTATTTAAAAATATTTAAAATAAATAAAACTAACGGACATCCGATATTTTTGGAAAACACTAGGTGTCGATCCGATATTTAATATCGGCACAGCCCTAGTTTGCACATCTATAAGCGAAATCTCAAGGCTTAGGCAAAATTTTCTGGTTAAAATATTAAACTAGACGTTTTCAAAAATGGCTCAAATAGAGCCGTTAATGTATCTGCTACAAATCAATATGTCATTTTTGCAAAAACGTTTATAAAAAAAAACCAATTTATATTAAAATTATTACCATCTGAGTCTCAAAATCGGCTATTTTTTGAAATTGTGATTGAGAAAATGCTATAAATCGTTTTCTATGGGTAATGGGAGCCTCCTCTATATGGGACCAATAATAATAAACGGCATACAACGAAAAGCCTATGCCAAATTCTGATTATATTTTTAAATATACATATATATATATTAAATTTATTATGGGTAGTAAAAACACGGCTAATGTAAGTCGGTGTCCAAAATCATTTTTTAAAAAAATCAAAAACTTTCGCTAATTTATGTTTAGGACATTTTTTATTTTTATATTTAAATTAAAATGGCTTAATAGAAAGTTTGTACACAGCCTAAAGTAAAAAGAAATTAGCATTTTTAGATAACTTAGCAGAGCTAGATCTCTGCGCAAGATCTGTCAGCCCAACTATTGATCAGGGCTATAGAAATGTTATATAAAATTAAGGCTGTCATTTATTTCTCCACTATTTGATTGGAAAACTACCAGTAAAAATAACAAATTGTAGGAAAAAAACATGCGGTCACTAAAGTATATAATTATATAATTAATATTTTTAAATGTTGTTAAAAACGGCTCGTTTTGCGCCGATTATTAAACGGCTATCTCAATATTTTAGCAAGAAAAATATTGCATAAGCCTCAAGATTTCGCTAATAGATGTCCAAACTTTTGTTCCTTCTACAAATAAAATATTCAGGCTTCCATAATATTATTCTGGATTAAATATTGAGTTAGCCGTTTTTAAAAATCGGCTCAAAACGAGCCGTTTAACAACACTATTTTAAATATTAATATTATTCATATAAATTTGTTCAGGATGAAATCATTGGGCCTTATTTTGCTTATTATTTTCGGTATATTTTGATTTTGCTAAATGACAGTAATCTATTTTTTTTTAAAAAAATTAAATTTTAGTATTCTTTGTAAGTATGGCTAACTATGGGGGGGGGGGGGGGGGGGAATCAAAATAAATTTTATTTTGGTACACATGGTAATCTTGTGTTCATTACAAAAGTTCACAACGAATTTTTTTTTAATATTAAAAACTATGAATTCCAATTTTAAGAAAGGTTTTTTTTATTGTTTATTGATTACCTACTATTTTTTTCATCAATAATTTGAAGGACTAAAAAATATATTGAAAAATTAATGCAAATAATGTTTCAAAAAAATTAAGGATATCCCTCTATTTTAATACAGCCAACTAGTGTTGTTAAACAGCTAAATTTAAGCTGATTTTTAAAAACAGCTAACTCAATATTTTATTCAGAAAAATATTCCGCAAGCCTGAAGACTTTGCTCATAGATGGCACAAACGTTTGGACATATATTATCGAAATTTCGAGGCCTTTAGATAATATATTTTCTGGCTAAAATATTGAGTTGGTCGTTAAAAATTGACTCAAATCGAGGCATTTAACAACATCGAGTAATATAAATGCTAGCGAATTCAAATTTCGTTTTTGATCTAATTATAGCCCATTTAATTTTCACCCAAATTTTTATCAAAATTTAAATTGTAATAGACCAAAAATGCTTCTTTTGACTTAGATATAAAAATGAAAAAAAAATTATATTTATCAAAAAGAAACTAGAAATTTCATAATATGGGAAGTCTAAATTTTAATAATTAATATTTCTAAATATTAATTTACTACAGTTAATTTAGTATGAAAATGATTTTTGGAAATATTTCCTTGCTACAAAGGATATCAATTTAATACAATCAAAAAATTATATATATTTTTTTTTACTAAACTCATCAACCAATGTTTGTTTTTCTGAATTTTGGTAATCATGAGATATTTGTTTTTTGGGTCGCTCTTGAGCCAATATCGGAATCGCCTTCCTGATAGAATAGCCACTAATTTTACTATTGGTTTCATAAATATCCAAAACAAGGGTGCAAATGCCTGTGGATTTGAGGTATGAAAACATTTGAATAGTATATGGTGTGAGGCTAATTGCTTTAGATTGTTTGGATTTAATTTTATAACTGGTCTTGTATGTATAGCTCTATCAATATGTTTAAAATTGTGGGTAAGATAACTATCCAAATTTTTATGATTCTTAAATAAACAGTTGGTAAAAAGTGTTGAATATGCCTGAGTATTAACAAGATGAGATCTGGTTTCATCTGTTATTAGATTTTTAATTTTAAGAATACCTCTGCAATATATTTTAAAGAATGTGTCCATGGTTACTATTTAATGCCAGTTATGTTACATCAAGAAATAAGATCTTCATTTATCACTTGTATGATTAGATTTTCTATATAACAAGAAATTAATTTAAATTGAAAGAAATCATTAATATAGAAATAATTCTATAAATTATTTAAGTAATAAATATTTATTCGCAAGGCTTTGTTTTAAATCAAGTATTAAATCTGTCTCAAAATTTAATTTTGCTCTCTGATTATGATCAATCTCTATCAAATTTTGATTGCTCTTAACAAAATCTTTGTAATTCCAAATAGCATTATTCTTGGATTTCCCATGCAAAGCAATTACATATAAATCATCCATAGTTTGAAGTATGTCTCCAATTTCTAGGTTTATCTCAGATTTTTTAAAATATACATTGCATAATTGAATGTCTTGAATAAAATATTCTAATAAAAAATCATTATTTATTTTATCTTTGTGAAGAATAATAACTAATCCATTAATCAAGGCCCAATGAGATTTATGCCCATTTTTTAAACATGGCCTATGATCTTTATCATTATCATATGGCATAATAATTAGATTATTATTCATTAACTCATTAATAAAATTATTATCATATGATTGGCCATCTTGAGTATCCTTTATTTCTAAACTACAATCTAAATAAAATGAGGCTAATGTTTTAAGATTGTAAATGGAAAAGATTTCTCCATTCTTACTCAATTGTAACTCTTTGCCTTTCTCTAAAATTTGATTTAAAGTGGGAGGAGCTTTATAAATTTGTATCGCCATCATTAAAGCAACCATTCCACAGGTAGGGCCTATTTGAGGAATTGGTTGGATTAAAATTTGATTTATTAAAATTAGATGATTTGAATTAGGTTTTAGATATTCCGATGATAAATTAAGAATCATATGTTTATGAAAATCAGCTGTAATAGATTTTCGTGTTATTCTTATAAATTATATATATATAATGGTTTTGTTATTTTATATTACTTGTTCATAGCTTAACCTTTAAATCATCGCTTCGTAGGGCGCTTCATAGAATTAATAAAAATAAATAAAATACACTAAATAATATCCTAAATTTTGATCGGTATGTAAATAACAATAATCATTTTTCAAATAATAACACATATTCATATAATAAAATCAATTAATTTATTAGTAATATATGTTTTTAAAAAGGATAAAAGTTATTATAATTAAATTAAATCAGGCAGGAGTAATAAGAATAAGATAACATTAGTTTATTCACTATAGCAAAAAAAAATGGAAACCTTACTCTGAATTATACGAATCCTTTTTCCGATTTTATATTTATCACAAGGCCATCTTTAGCTCTTTACAAAAGGGGATGCTAAAAGGTAATAATATATTTTTAAAGTCTATATTTTATAGCACTATTCAATTATAACATCTGAAAGACTTCGCCCTCATACCCACCTTTGGCAGGCTTGGGTTGGTTTTGTGTTGATAAATCAATATTTTTCACTGCAAGTAACTATAATAAACTTATATTCACTAATAGAATAAAATCTTACACAATTTATGAATAAAACTTAAATTATTTACACACATAACCAATAACAAAATCCTTAAATAAGCTAAATCTTTAAATTTTTAGATTTTCTTATCAAAAAGATTATAAAAATATTTTACCTAGAAAAAATTAATGATATTTTATTATTCGCTTCCGTACAAACTTTCATCAGATTAAATTAATAAATTGGCAATTGGTATAAGATTGGGATTATCTTTTTATATTTTTGAAAATTGATGTTTATTTTGAAAAGAAGGTGTTTTAGCACCCAAAACATCTAGATAGTGAAGTCTTAGCAGTACCATGAAATGTAGTGATAGGATGCGATTGAACATAGATCCAACACCTTGGTCAATCGTAGAAATAATATTTTCCCTGAAAGAAGTGGAAGAAAAATAAAAATATTATCAAAACTATTAAAGTTTGAAAGGAACATGAATGATTTTTGGATTATATTGAAAAATTTATCAAGTCAAAGAATGCACATTCCCTAAAAACCAAACAATTTAGAGTTTAATTTACATTAACTACTAATTAAATTAAAGGCGTACAAGATTAAGTTAGGGGAGGAGCTCTATTAAGTGGGGCTTTCCCTCATAAATTTTATCAGAGATCTTTAAGTTCATTTATTACGGGGAAGTTATACCTTTATAAAAATAATTTTGGGTTTTCACATTTTTTTTATAGTGCTTAAACTTTGAATTAAATAATTATTTAAAAATTTTATTAACTTATCTTTCTTTTAATTATTTATAGTGATAATATCATATATTTTTGGAGGAGATGGGTATGGGAGGAGGGGGGGGGGTATAGGGTGAATACCGTTATAACCTAAAAAAGATATTTACGAGAACTGGCAAATTTTTGAAGGAGGGATGTCCCCTTACTCCTTCCCAATGGCAGTAGCGTACGCAGGAATTTGGTGTGGGGGGGAGGGGGGGGGGGATAATTAAATTTTTTTAAAATAAAATTATTGTTATTTAAAAATATCAAGCATAAATTTATTAGGACTTATAACTATTTCTAATATACAAATTTAAATTAATATGAATTATAAAAAATTAAATATATAAACCGATATATAAAAATAAATTTGATTTAAAAAATATTAAACGAATATAACCGGCGGCATATAAATATTTTAAATAAATCTGAATTATAAAATATTAAGTGGATATAACCAGGATAGATGACTATAAAATAAATAATCCATAATAGAAATTTAAATTTTTTTGAGCTTTTAAAATTTATATATAAAGTATAAAAAATCTAAATGTTGGAAATATGAATAATTATATTTTTTATGTAAAAGAAAAATATATAAGACATTAAAAAATGATAGCACAGAAAATATTATAGAAACATTATATTTTTATAATGTAAAATCCAATCTTCGTTGGAAGGGAGCTAATTTTTCAATTATCTCATCCGTGTTTGGCGTCAAATGCCTATGAATATTCAAAAGGGCAAGACCATTCAACCTACTTTCAGAAGGTCTTCTTAGGTACGTTTTTAATCTTCTTAAAGAAGAGAATGTTTTCTCATTAGTTGCAGTACTAATGGGAAGAGTTCCTAATATATATAATAATTTGAATAAATTGGGAAAATAATCTAAAAGATGTTTGAAATGATGCAAAGCATCATAGCATTTTTTGAGACTATATCAACCATAGTTAATCTTTTATACCATAGTTGGCATTCAAATAATAAAGCATCATGAGATTCATTTATTCATGATTAAAATCCTCCAAATATTTTATTTTTTTTCTATCACCATCTGAAAAAGGTTCAGAGGGCTTTTGCGGAAGTAATATCTGCAGATTGATAAGTGTTTCTTGATAAATTAAAATCTTTTCATTTACTTGTGTTATAAATGTATCCAAAAGAGGTATAAAGACATTTATTTTATAATATTCTTCTATTGACCCTATATTAATATTTGGACGATAAGTTTGCCTTACTGTAAGTCGAGGGAGACAAATATTGAACTCGTATAGCTCTGCTTTTGATTCAACATTAACATATAAAATTTGAAATTCCTCATCAGCATTAGCTCTAATTTCTTTGGTTCTAATAAAATTGTCTCTGCTATTCTCATCATCTCAATCAAATCAATATCAGGTTTTTGAAAAGTATTACATAAAATAGTTGTAATAATTAAATAATTTATTAATTACATTCTAATGCGGAAAAAAAATTTTGTATAAGTATTGAATCCAGTAACTTGCTTGCTTCTGAAGAAATATCTTTTTCAGACATTGTAATATTTCTATAAGAGCATTAATAATCGGCTCTTCTAACTCGATAAAAGCTGTTATTGCTTGATGTGGAAGATTCCATCTTGTTGGACAATCTTTTTGCAATTTTTTTCTCCTTGTTGGGCAAGGAGTTTCAGATATAATTCTGTTCAAAATATTTAGACGCTTGGGGTATCTAAACATCTCATAGATGCTAGATATTTTACCTGATATAAATATAAAAAATTTAATTTAATAATTAAAAACCTAAGCAATTTGATATCAATGGTAAAGAACATAAATCCGATATTTCTAAGTTGAGTGAATGGGCAGCACAGTGGACATATATAGCTGTTGGGCATTTTTTTTTAATAAATGCCTGAAGCCCATTGAATTGTCCACTCATTGCACGTGCTCCATCATACCCTTGCCCACGTAACATATTTATATTTAGCTATATATTTTAAAATAATTATATAATAAGATTAATTAATACTTTTAATTTTTTAAGATTCACAAATATTACATCAGTTAAAGCAGACCCAGTCATGCTTTGAAACAGGAATAAATTGGAGAAACATTTCCTTGATAATGTTTTTATGAGTATCTACATATCGCGCACACAACGACATCTGCTCAATGCCAGCAATGTCTGTAGTCTCATCTGCCAAAATTGAGAAGCATGGGGCAGAATTGATTTCAACAATCAATTCTAAAATGATATTGTTGCAAATATCAATTATCTCATTTTATATCCTAGAGCTGAGATAAGTAGCATTTTTATTGGTACTAATGAGGCTCTCCATTAATACAGGATCTCCTAATGCTTTAAATTTTAAAAGTCCACGGACCTTCGTTATCATTATTATTAAAATTTAAGCTTCCTGAATCCTTGTGGCCACGAAGTGCTAGGCCTTGCAAGCCACAATATAAAATAGCCTCAATAGTTAGTTTTATCTTGCCTCTATTTTCTTTTGCAATTTTAACCCTATTTTTATCAATTATTGATCAAATGGGAATCATATCCCCCTTTTGAATTGATTCTTTTAAGGAAATCATCAGTTCACAGCTTTTGTTTATTAAATTATCATACTATACTTTTTTGCTTTTTGGCATGATTTTCACCTTCAGCATTTTTTAAAAAAAGTCTAATATCCATGATTAGAAATTTGAAAATTATAATACCGGGAAATTTAAAAATAATAGATAAATATTACGCCACAAGGAAAACTTGAAAATGAAATTAATTGATAAAGTAAATTAGTAAATGAAAAAGGTAATAATATAAAAATTTAAAAAGGAATAGATATGAATAATTATAATAAAATATAAAAAATAATATTTTTGAAAAATATGTCCGGCATCTGCATTTTGGCTTTGGGCGGGGGGGGGGATTTGTCCCCCTGCCCCCCCCCGCTGCGTACACCAATGCCAATGGTATACCTTTGTAATGAATGAAGCAATCAGGGATAGAAATCGCTTATCAGTTGATCCTATATCCAACTTCATGACAATTTGCTTTCACAAGAAACCACTTTCCACTAGCTTCGCCATTCATAAATGATCATATATATGAGTGCATTAGCAAGTCCAATAAACCATCATAAATATGTTAAATGTATGTACACTTTTATAATACAATAAATATTAATAATATATTTAAATAAATATTTTTCGAGAATTTATTTTAATTTTTTCTCTCGCAGATATATTAACTAGCTTTAAAAATTATTATATACTATAGAGCGCATCCTCCTACAGCATATGGAAATTGAATCGCGATAAACCCAACACATTTCCGTGAAATTTTAAAGTGAACTGGTTAAAATTTTGGCAGCCTAGAATTAAGTATAATAGACTATAATAATATATATAATAGGCAATAAAAGACATCTTTTCCCAGATATTCATCTGTGACATATATATTAACATTAAGCGCAGAAAAAAAACAATGATTTAAGGAAAATGCCATGTCCAGAAAAATATTGCCTGAACCTCAAGATTTCGAATAGATGTTCAAACCTTTGTATCACCTATGAGCAAAATCTTCAGGCTTTCGTAATATTTTTCTGGGTAAAATATAGCTAGCCATTTTTAAAAATCGGCTCAAGTGGAGTGATTTTGCATAACTATAAAAAATCATAATAGTTTTATTACATTCATTTTTATAATGCCGCCTGAAATTATATTATTCGATCTCCACTTTTTATAATTTTACAGGGAACTATTTTAAAAATTAGGTTTCCATTGTTTTATAAGTTGGATAACCTTATATTGGGTATAATTAGGGTTCTTAGATTTATTCAAACAAAAAGCGGGAAAATTTAAAAATAATTCAAAAAAATTTTTTTTTATAACAAATAATATTCATTTTCTCTCCCGGTTATTATTTCTTTATTTAAATGAATATATCTAGTGTTGCTAAACGACTCATTTTGAGCCTATTTTTAAAAACGGCTAACTCAATGTTTTATTCAGAAAATATTATGCAAGCCTTAAGATTTTGCTCATAGGTGGCACAAAGGTTTGAATATCTATTAGCGAAATCTCGAAGCTTAGAGAATATTTTTTCTGGTACTGATTATGCGCTCTGAATTATTTGAATGTAGTAACGAGAATATAATGTAGCATATATTTATAAATTTTGGCAAAATGTTCTTTGAAAAAAAAAGTACCCATACCCATTTGATTTCATGAAATTTGATATTTTTTGAGGCTTTTGTTCTTCTAAATTTTATGCTTTTGGCTACTTTTGAATCAGGAAAGAGGAAAGATAATAAATTTGTATCAGAAATCTATAGATAAATAACTGAGCCAATGTTTTATCGTGTGATGAATGAATGTCGTTTCGGCTATTACATTATTATCATCATATAAATTGTATTTGAAGTATGATTGGATATTATTTGATGATTCCTTATTTTTTTTAATTTGGTATAATGTTTTTTTTGCATCATGGACTCCTCCATGGCTGATTTTAAATCTTGTATTGCATATTATATATTCGTATAATCTGCTCTGACCCATGAATATTGGAATTCCAGTTATTTGGATATTGCCGATTTATATATTTTTTTTTTGTATGTTAAACTTATCTTTAAACTGTAATTTAATATATAATTTAAATTAGTGGTATAAAATAGGAAAATGAAATGAAATATAACGAGAAAACTTTATTTAATTAAACCAAAAATTATTATTAGGCTATATAAAACTGTTAAAATTTTTAAAATAAAAATCATTTTCATTAAGAGAATCAAAAGATGTAATTATTTTAAATCATTTTAAAATTGAAAGATATTAAATATTATTATTATATTTGAAATTGTAAAGATTTTGGGGATCGAAATAGAATTCTTAGTTTTTTTTTCTCTTCCTTACTCAAATGGATAAAAAAAAATAAACAAAAATAAGATGCCTTTTTAAAATGTATGATTAGATTAAAATAAAAAATGATAGCGTAAATTATTTTATATTTTTTAATAAATAAGGGAGAATTTATTTTAGGAAAATCCGGAGAAAGACTAAAAAAATCGGGATTACGCCAAAAGCGAAAGATCTAAAAACCCTGGCTATAATTTAACTTATTTTATAAATATTTCGGTTTTTTTAAGAAAAAATGTAAATAGAAATTTAATTTTGAGAAAATTAATTAAATCTTAAAAATACGTTATCTGGAGAAGGAATTCTTTAAGAATAATAAAAAATAAGATAAGGTATTTAATCCATCTCGGAATCTAATTTTTTGAGAATATCATATTTTCTATGATTGAGTACTGAATAACATGTTTGATCGTAATTGGGAACCCAGAAAATAGAATCAAATATTCGTATTCGATTCGAAAATTTAGAATCGAATAATTTAGTATCCGTAATAACACAAAAAAAATTTTTTTGTCGGATACTTAATTTATTATATAAAAAAATGAAAACAATTTATTGCATATTGATAATATATGTTAAAATACAATTATGATAAAAATAAACTATTTTTTTTAAACCTATTCTTTCAGGCAAGTTTCTTCTTTTAGAGACATCCAATTTTTTATATCAGTGTCTAAGATGGCACTCATAAAACCTAAAAAAACCTATTATTTCAACTCTTTCTGATTGCATAATCTTACAATTTATTTATATTTGTTTTATAATTTACCTTTAGGAAATTTAAACGTCAATATCATATTATAAAAATACCAATCACGAGCAAAATGGCTTTTTAGCCGAGTTTTAAAAATGTAAAGATTACATCTATTAGCAAAATTTGTGGCATAGGCAGTATTTTTCTGGCAAAAATACTGTTTTGCAATACTATCCACAAGTTATTTAATTACAGTGGCTTTAATTTTTTTAAAAAAAGAAGAGATTAATTAAGAATATTAAATTCCAGAATTAACAATAATTCGAATTTTTTATTCATCACATTTTTTTTTAAATATCATTTGAATTCAATTGTAATATTCTTTCTCCTTAATAAAGTTCTTTGAGTGTCCTATGCACATAGTTTAATATCACCATATTCCATTATCCATAATTAAGTATCATTATACTGGAATCCTTAGTGTCATGGCTCCATTATTGGGCATAAATTTTTGATTATATTTTCTTTGTCCAGTTTAGGCTTACATAACATTTTTTATGGATAAAATAGTTAGTTTTTCAAAAATGAGCTCAAATTGAGCATTTTAATACTAATCCAAACGAATCTGAAATTTTCGAAAACTGGTCAGGTTCACAAGATATAGGAGTTTTGGTTAAAATTCATGGTTTAAGAGCTCTGGGTTTAGTTTGAACAGATAACTTTTATATATTAAAATATTCAGGTAACCCAGCCCTCTATTCTAATGATGATAGCCTCTTCACAACTCCCTGCTCACATTTGATAGAATTTAAAATAAAAGCATTTGTAAACAATATTAAATGAATCTAAATAATTTTGAGATAATTGCATAATATATTTTTTTATATTTGCTTTTAATAACATCAATGAATATATAGTTTAATGTAATCATTAGATTTAATCATAATTTAATTTTTGCATTATAGTTAGAATAACACAAAAATTTATTTGCTAAATTATTTTCATGTTCTGGACAAAAATTTGTGGGCAAAACTGATGCATATATAAATGCTAAATGTTGCATAATTTCCCCTAAATCAAAATAATATAAACTAAATTAAAAATTATTGAACCTGTACAAAGTATAATTTTTTGGGATGTTAAGTATGCAAGTGTTTGTGATATATTAGACAGACATTCTTCAGAAAGAAATGGAGGGTCTACTAAGATAAAATCAAAAGTATCCTTAAATTCTTTGGAAATCTAAAAAAAATTCCTAATGTATGAAATATAAAAGAGGGATAAAATAACTTTTAAAGGCTCTTTATAGTCATAAAATATATAATTAGGAAAATACGAAAATCTTTTATCATACTCAAAAAGGTAACATATCCTATATAAATTAAATATTTTGATTTTCTTTAATAGACTATTGTAAACTGAAGGGGCACTTATTATTCCTATTCTATAATGGCATTAAGATTATATTATTAATGGCTGTACTTATTTCCCCAAACAGTGTTTTTTATAATTTCATTTGCTAATATGCTTGATGATGTCTCATTATACCAGAATTGACTTAATTGCTAAAATAGTTATGTTAATATACCTTTTATATAATAAAATATTACCCAATTTTCTGTTGGAAAATGCAAATGACTACTATCTTCTATTTCAATTGATAATTTTTTAAATAAAACAGTATTCAATGCTTCAATTGCCTTATCAGATAAATCGTCATTTATGTCATCTTTTTCAAATTTGATCATCAGATGTTAACCGAATAATTTGGGGTGCCAATCCAATTACATTTTTCAGGTGGCTAAACGTTAGCTCAGCTTAGTTTATATATGTTTAAAAGTCCGATTCAGGCCTATAAAAAACGGCCCACAAGATTATAACTAAAATAAAATTATGCAAGCCTTAAGATTTTTCTCGTAGCTGGTATAAATGCTTGGACATCTGTTTGCTTAATCTCGATGCTTACATAATATTATTTTAGCTAAAATCTTAATCGGGTCTTTTTGAAAAATCGACCAAAATTTAGCTTATAAACAACAGTAGTTCATAGTATATTGATGTTAGAGAACTCCAAAAGATTTTTTTATTAAAATTTTTGATCAAATTTACTTCAAATATCTTTTGTTATATTTAATAAATATTTTGTAATTTTCTTGCATTAAAACCTTTTCAGGATTAAATTACAAATTTTTTTCAAACACTGATTGAAACAATTTTTAAAGTGTTTGATTTACTATAATTATAATATGTGCATTTTTTCATAAAAACTTTTTGTGGGGTCAGAGAGGCGAGATTAAATCATTTCCATAAATTTAAGTTATTTATTGGCAGAGTCCATAAGTTTTTTTCCAATAGTAAATTTTCCTTTAACTATATTCGAAACGAAAAAAGGCATTACTTAGACAAGACCTGAATTTAAGTAGATGTCATAAACCGTAGACAACAAATTTAAAAAATATGTAAATTTAATTATTATACCTCATCTAATAAATAAATAAATAAGAGAAATTTATATAATTATTATTACATTTCAATATTACTATACTTTTTTCTCTCCTTGTTTAAATTTTAATCTATGATTTTTCATTCAATTGTTTCCTTAAAGTTAATATAACTAATTATTATCGTTGATTTATTTTATATCAAAAACTTTAACCCCTCATCATCTCCCAGGCTTCATACACGCCTATTATCAAACCTTAAAGATTATTTTAAAAAATAGGAAATATATATAACCGTATTTACTATGTTAATAACTATACTTCAGATAAAAGAGATATTTAAATTTAATCTTATTATAAAAGTATCACATTTACAATAGCAGGTAGTTCAGACATCGGTCAAGTAAAACTAATTTATTGGCTTTGATCAATATTGAAGACAATATTGTAAAATTAAAATGTCAATAACATACGCGATGTTGATATAATTGATTAATTTATTATCCTACTTGATGCAATATAAACATTTAGGCAATGTCCTGATTTGTCTTATTTTTGGAAATTATTTTTGTTTAGACAAGTCTATTTAGATTTTGAACTAGGACACCCTATTATTGTTTTGTTTTAAGTGTGCCACTAGATCTAGATAGTCTCTATCTTTTTATTCTATTTAGAGGGAACAATATAAGCGGCTAAAAGATTACTGTTTAAAATAACCCGAGCTAGCTTTTTAATAACGTGGATAAATACATTTTTAAAGAAACCCTCTTAAAACTCATAATGATTCATAGTTATGATATTAAAAAATTGCGGTAATTTATAAGAATATAAATTACCCATCAGGGTGAGGCCATATAAATAAAAGAAAATGGAGGCGCTACCCTAATATATTAAGAATGTCGAGCTCCAAAGGCTAAGGATACCGTTCCCGCAAAGACCACATGAAACATTTTTTCGGTTATATAATGCACGTGATTAGCGTTCTAACGCCAAATAAAATTTGCATTTATAGATGAAGCCCCACAAGCAAGCGCCTTATGCAGACTTATCGCTTGAAAAGCAAATACGATTGTCAGTATAATATAAATGTTTATAACATCCACCATATACTTCTGGCGGCGAACCTAAAGAGTCTGCAGCAAGAGTTAGCTTATAAAGCGCCATCTCTAATTACAAATTTTATTTGGAGTTCTAGAACGCTAATTGCGATCATTATATAACCGAGAAAATGTTTCCCGCGCTGTTTGTAGCTCGATATTCTGAATATCTCAGAATCGCACCTATATCTTTAATTTATGTGGTCTCGTCTCTGGGGTTGAAAACAGGTGGAGTCATGGGCGATTTTAAGGTTATCTTATAATAAACGTAGTAATTTTTCAAAGGGATCGTAACTAGGGCATCATTTTCGGGTTTTAAGGGATCTCTTTAAAAATGTGTATTCTTTGCGCCATATATGCTAGTTTAGCTTAACATGTTGATTCTATTCTATGTTTAAGCGATTAGGTTATAGAATAGGTTAAAATGCAAAATATTCGATATAGTTGTGTTATACTTCTCTATTTGAGTCAATTTTTAATAACGGTCTACCTCAATATTTTAGCTAGAAAAATAATGCCTAAGCGTCAAGATTTAAATAGTAGACGTTCAAACCTTTTAGGTCTTCTATGAACAAAATCTTTCGGCTTGCATAATATTTTTTCTGGATTAAAATATTGAGTTACCCGTTTGTAAAAATCGGCTCAAATCGAGCCCTTTAACAACATTAATAACTCTAGTTGGGTATAATTACCTTATTTTTAGTCATTTGTCAATTTTTAGCCGAAATCTATCACTTTGGACCACGCTGTTTTTCCCTAAAAAGATAGCAGCTCAAATTTGAAAGAAACAAATATAAATTAAAATGCCTTAATGTTAACACATTTACTCTAGCAGGCACCTGTAAAGCGTATACTATAAATCATGTAAGGCATACCTTTTTTTCTCTATTAAACCACTAGAAAAATCAAATCTCAAAATGCTTTATTAGCCCAAATATAGATCAAGAGATACCAAAGTATCACCCCTATTTATTTGTTTTCACACAATATGGAAGAACTAGCTAAGTGCCTTTTAGAATTGTACTCCAATGCCACTCTTTGCAAAGAATATCACGCTTGGAGGAAGAGTATTTTATCGTATCGAGACTAGAGGGTAAATATCTATGCCAAATCTGTCAACATTTGCATCTCAATCCCTATAATTTTTTTACTAAATACCCCAGTGATAGAACGGAGAAAGAGATTGTAATTCACATTGATTTCAAAATTAAAATTCCTCACGGGTCTCGAATGGTTTAATAAGTATATATCCATACAAACATCAATGTTATAATTTTTTTTCAAATAATTTTTTAACCGCGATTTTTTTAAGTTTAAAAATCTGATTTTACCAAAAATATATTCCATCATGTTTGGAATACTTACCATATGAATTTTAAACAATTTTTTCATGAATCTTTGAAAGTATAAAATTTATATTCGTTTTTTCCAAAGATATTTTTCAATAAATTAAATTAATCAAAGGTTAATGTCAAAATTGTCTACAATTCATAAGATGGGTATTCCAAACATGCCGAAATACATTTTTGGTAAAATCAGATATTTAAATAGATTTGAAGTTTAAAAAATTAAACTTTTTCAAAACAAAAAACACATACATAATATAAAAATATCGTAGATTGTTCAATCTGAAATAAAATAAAATAAAATTAAGATAATACATTGTAAATACGGCAATATAATATATTTATGATAGTATAAAATAAATTAACAAGAATTTTATGGCGTAAATCGATGAATAAAACAAAATATACAAAGTGTGAAATTTTGAAAAAAATACATTAATACAAAATTTATATCCTTGATGATACAAATATTATTTTAAAATAAATTGTAACTTAATTAGATTGATTAACATGCTTTAAATATATATTAAGTTAAGTAAATCAATAAATTTATTCACCAATAACATTTTAGAGTATTTGACCAGGTCCCTACGGTCAATTGTCCGACTTGTCAACCCCACTTTAAATTTTGTTACTTCTGTTTACTCAGGCACTAAATATTGGCATCCATGTTTAATAAAAAGTTTCTTCCAATCGTTCTAGCGAACTCCTGGGGAGATGCAAACACATCTATTATATTATGTATCATATAACTATTTATCTAATGAATATAATTAATAGTATAATATAATATAATTCCGATTTAATATATTTCCCTCTACTTAAAATGAATGTGGAATAGTGAGGTATCCATTTCAAGGCTCTTTACACAGATTCCATTGGCAACCAATGCATCCCATAACCTAATTCTCTATGTTATAATAACATATGGGATACCAATTGTAAATTTTTAAAATGGTTTTAAATTCTAGGGTGATTGTTATGTGATATTTCTAATGTAAGGATAAATTTCCTTATTATCTTTGATATTACAAGTCTTGCTATTACATTCGAAAATGTTCTCTCCTACTGATAATTCGTTGCATAGAATCTCCATGACAATTAATATGAATAACCTAACAAAATCCCGTTTTGATCCGAAATATTTTTTTGGACAATCGCATATCCTCTATATCAATTGACAGGATGTTGGTGGAATAATGGTTGATTTCTATGCCTGTCACAGATAATCTGGACAACGCGTCCACTAGAAAGATATTTTTCCCTGGTTGATGTTCTATTGCATGATCACAGTCAAATTGTCCACTGTATCAACCAGCTGCCAAATCATGCTTTCTCCAAAAAGTTCTTCAAGAGGCTTATGATCAGTTTCTTAACAAAAACTTACGACCATATATAAACTAATAAAACTTACCTATCTTGAAAGAAGCAAATTTGCCTCTTTGCCAGTAGCCCATAGTTTTTAACATGTGGGAAGCATATATGGTTAGTTTGGTGCCCACTCCACCTACTAATATATGCAACATGCCGGCTTTTCAATTCTGTATCCAACGCATCGCATTCCATGATGAGTGGTGGTTCTGCATAAATATGGGATCAAAGTTCTCTCCGTGGATAAATAACAAATTTTAGTTTAGAGGTCCATTGCCACGCTATTTTAACGTTAATTAAACTATGCAGACTATAAATTTGTTTCTATTAACATCTAATGTAGTGATTACATGGTAATTATATTAGGATTTTAAAAACCTTAAAATCGGCGCAAATGCGTCATTACTCTTACAAACGTTCACGGTTGGTATCCTTGTTGTATTCGAGTTTATTTTAATTAAGTTCCAGCTGAAACCAAACGTTTTAATTCCCA